GTTCTTCTTTAAGTCAAAATCCTGCAATATTGCCCCCTTCTTCCATCAAGTCATAGTGTATGTAAGCAGCAGAAGTCACCTGCAAAGCCATTTACAAATCAGTATAATGGTATGTGCCTTCCATGCATTGCTCCTCAGCTGCCTTTTTTCCCCAGTACTGACAATGAATCAGTTTTATTCAGGATTTGGAGTTACACCCTATTAGCCGATTACAGAGCAGCTTGCATAGTAAATAATTTTCTCTCATAAGATGAGCACTGTCAGTATGGTGAGAAATAAATGAATAATTTGATTAGACAAAACGATAAGAAAAACATTCAAGTAATGTGTGTGTGTGTGTGTGATCAATTCAGAGCTGTTCTATAATGGAAGACTGTCAAACGAATATTTTGTGAAGACCACAATGCTCTAGACCAGGGCCAGGCAACCTCAGCACTCTAGCTGTGATAAAACTACCAATCCCATCATGCATCTGCCTCTAGGAGACATACATGTGGCTGTCAGAGTCTTACAATGCCTTATGGGACTTATAGTTCTGCAACAGCTGGAGGGCTGAGGTTGGCTGAAGGTTGCCTAACGCTGGTCTAGGTGTACCTTTTTTCAATTCTGCCTCATCCTGGTCTTGATCACAGACACACAGGGTAATATAGAAGTAGTTACACTTGGACAGTGAGCAGAGATATAAACATATCTTATTAAATGCTACTTTATTATCAGACAGAAATACTATTTAAACACTCACCTGCCATCTCTACACCAAACTTCTTTTGAAGTGCTTGCTGCATTGACAGCATCTAAAAGTGCGTAATGAGATACAAAATCTGTTCACAACATGGTTCCATTTTATCTTTAACAAAAGGCGTTATTTTCATATTTGTCCCAACGCATCTGTCGCCCCCTGCTGTATTCACTGGCCCCACCCACACTGCGTTTTTATGACTTAACCCACTGCAATCTCCAAAATATAGGACAAAAATCCATCAAAAAATAGATAAAGGAGAATGTATCTGCCATCATAGCTGTGCATACTTGAGATAGATTTCCAGAAATTGCAATGATTTCACTACCCAGTTCATATAAGAGGTCAGTGAGTGATTAACTCTTCAGTTTTGGGTGCACTAACTACTTAAAGTGACACTAAACTCCGGGAGTTAAATCTTAAAAATACATTCAAGTACCTGAACTAATAACAAAAATGTATCTTATTTGTGTATCACTCAGCTGTAGATCCTCAAATCATCTCTGATGACTTGTCCATCACAGGATCGAGCTTGGAGCGGTGGCTACTTTACAACGCACAGAGGGACCATGGGGAACAAATGTAGCCACCCTCCAGAAGGAAGGACAGTGTCAGTATGAATTCAGAGATGATCTGAGGATCTACAGCTGAGTGATACACATATAAGATACATTTTTGTCAATTGTTAGGGATCTGAATGAGTTTTAAAGATTTAACTCCTGAGTTTAGTGTTACTTTAAAGAGGACCTGCACACCAAAACAACACTTTGCTATATTCTAATCCTTCCTCCTCCATTGTACTAATAATACAGGATATTGCTAACCTTTGCTTCACTTGGTGTTGATGTGAGGTTGGGTTGTTCTGGGGATGAAGGCACAAATGGTTCTGTACTTCGAGATAAGGCGAGAGCGGAAGCCTATGATATATCACATGGAAAATAGTATCAAATTCAGAGTACAAATTCTACATGCCATTTTATTATTACAGGTATTTATATAGCGCCGACAATTTACACAGTGGTTTACATAGCACACATTCACATCAGTCCCTGCCCTCAAAGAGTTTACAATCTAAGGTCCCTATCTCACATGCATGCATACGTTTAGACAGGAGCCAATTAACCTTCCAGCATGTCTTTGTAGTGTGGGAGGAAACCGGAGTACCCGGAGGAAACCCATGCAAGTACAGGAAAAACATGCAAACCCCTTGCAGATAGTGACCTGGCTGGGATTCGATCCAGGAATCACCCTTCTGGAGGGTGGCTACTTTTGTTTCCCATGGCCCCTATGTGTGTTGTAAAGTAGTCACTGCTCCAAGCTCGCTCCTGTGATAGACTACAATCTCATGTTTAGTTTACTAATTTGTAATGAAATTATTGTCTGTCACGAGAGTGAGCTTGGAGCGGTGGTTACTTTGCTGCACACATAGGGACCATGGGGAACAAAAGTAGCCACCTTCCATAAGGCAGGACAATGTCAGCACCAATTCAGAGATGATTTAAGGGTCTACAACTGAGTGATACACAAATTGCATAATGCATTTTAAAAATGTACCTCCTGAGTTTAGTGTCACTTTAAAAAAGGAATCTCACTTCTTCATTAGCTCTGCCAGGATTCTGTACAGAAAACTGTACTAGAGGTACACTAAAATTTGTGCACAATGTAGAAGACGCCCATAACATTTACAAGCATACCCTGGGATGACTGAATAATTTTATGTGGATGCTATCAATACAATAAAACTTAAAGGAGAACTATGAGGTGAGTGCTTTTCACTCACCTCATAGTTCTAGCCGACCTGTGACAATGAGACTGTCACAGGTCAGCTCAGTAGATCGGGAAGTGAGCGAACACATACCGGCGTTCGCTCACTTCTCGATCCTGTCACGGCTCTCTGCCGTGACAGGGGAGGGGCTGGATTCCCCCCACCCCGCTCCAATCCTCCAGCGTTGACTGGGGGAACGGACGGGGGAGGGTACAGCTGGCTCTGCTGTAGCACGCGGTATACTGAGCTTAGGTTGATGGGAGGACGCTAGTTTGTGTCCTCCCGCTACCCTAAGGATAACTATGAGGAAAAGCCTTAACCCCATAGTTCTCCTTTAACTTTCCAATATTATTTTTCCAAATATTAAATATCAGATAAATGTGCTTTATGATCTGATATTGGTCTCGGTATATCATAGATGGCTGTCTGTGCCTGGTCCATGCTTTTTTTTCACTCCAGGAGAGTCCCATTATGAGCTATTTAATAGCAGGCTATGAGCACCCTAGAGAACAAATGATCCACCATTTTGTCACACACTGCTTGTTTTCTTTTTCTATGAAGAATAATTCATTCAAGACTTTTTACTTAAGCATGAAATGGGGCTGGTATACATTTGCTGCCTTCAGTGGCAGTATGAGGGTGGACACATCTAAAAGGGCTATAATAATTCTTTACAATATTACCCGAGGGCTAGATTTCCTTTTGGCTTTGTCTGAAGGGGAAACTGTAAGTCCTGCTGCACTTAGAGCTGCTATCCTAGATTCAATATCTGACACCTAAAATAATACAATGCATATAGTTAGGGACTGATCTCCAAACCTCTTCAAAAAGACAGGAGCAGTTCTTTGACCTTTACCTCGCTCTCAGTTTGCTGCACTTGTGCCATGGCAGATGCCACGCTGACCTCTAATTCTGAAAGCTCAGAATCGGTGGTTCCACTCTGTTGTGCTGTCTCCTCCAACTCATGTAGGCTCTTCTCTAGGCCATATACCTTATCTGCTGCCATGTACACCTGAAATGGAATGCAGAAAACAGGAACAATGAGAGCTTAACAACTCCCCTTGTCAATTGAAAACCAAATCAGCACATGCTAAATACATGTTGGAGTATGCAATGTGAAAACAATATATGTTAATAGCCAAAAGAGATCAAATATAATGGCTCAAAATTACCTTTAATTAAATATTATAGTGAAAAGAAAAGTGATAGAAAAAATATTGGTTGTCTTTTGACATGATTGACACGTGATTGGTAAAATTACAAATGTCATGGTCATCATCTTTATACTTTATACATTCTCTTCTTTTATGACTTTTCAAATCTGTTTCCTCGCAAATCTTTAGTTACTTGCATCATCCCATTGCTTAAAGTGTATTTTCACTTTTGCAATCAAGATATGAGCACAAAAAAGCGCCAAAAAGGACTGCGCAACCAGTATGGACCAATGTAAGCACGAGTGTAGTCAGAAAACAAGAAAAAAATATAATAATAATAAAAAGCACGTGTATAGAAAGGTCTGCAGGATGCTGCCCCCAAACCAGCCAGGGAGACCGCAAAATCTAGGGGGAAAAAAAAACAAGGGGCGCCTTTCCTGGTGCAGACAAATTTAATAAGATCAGGATCTGCAGATTGGCCAGTTGCCACTATATTTAGCACATGAGACGGAGGTGGTCAGCATCTGATGAAGGGGGCGTGACCCCGGAAACGCGTCATCACACATCACACAGTCTCCTCTGCTGACACATAGACACGGCTGTGCAGCTTTCACAGACTTTCTCTTGGGTCCATGGACTTACTTTTTATACTATTATCATGCTGAATGTATGTCTTTTATCTACCTCTGATCCTGATCTTAATAAATTTGTCTGCACCAGGAAAGGCGCCCCTTGTTTGTGTTTTTTCCCTAACTTTTGCAATCAAGTTTGAGAAAACCCCACTATATGTTTTTTTATGTCTTCCAATTCACCCATCATACCTAAAAATGATAAAAAAACCCAAAACAAAACATTTCTTACCTTTTAGATATTTCTTTAGAGAAGACCTCTAGGCAGACTACAATCTACGCTGAACCATTTCAAAGTGAGCATGTCTCTATACAAAGACTTGGGAACACAGAGGGGGGAATTGATCAAAATTGGAGCAGGCAGAATCTGTAGCAGTAGCCCATGGCAGCCAGTTAGCTTCTCTCTTCAGTTTGTTCAGTTAAGATTTGGAAATGAAAGAGAGAAGCGGATTGGTTGCCATGCACAGTTGCTCCAGATTTTGTCTGCTCCAGTATTGATTCCCCCCACTGAGTTTTACCTAACTAACATACAAAGCAGAAGCCAGACTTTTAAGTCTTTAACCCTTTGTTAGGGCAGACAGTGTTCAAACCTACTGTAGTTTACAACTGATAATGAAATCTGCCAGCACAGTAGTGACAGGGTAATTATAGTAAACATAACTTCCCACAGCCCCTTCCTTTACATTAAATAAGAGGAAGTTAGGTAGGATTTATAAGCAACTAAAAAGCACTCGTAAATAGAAGTTGTTAATAATTTTTGTTGTTTTGCTAAATGAATGGGAACGTGTAACACATATGAAGTAGGTGTTATCCCAATTTTCTTGCAAAAGTGTAAATACACTTTAATAAAAAAAAATTACTTTAGGTAATACTTACATTTTTTAGATAATAAAGGCAAAAATTAGGGATGCACCGAAATTTCGGCCACCGAAACATTTTGGCCCAAAATGGCACTTTTGTCGAATTGCCGTAAGTGCCATGACAGCTGAAAGTGCGGTCGAAAATTCAGTGCATCTCAGTTTCTCTCCTCCCTGCTGGGGGCGTGTGCCTTCCGATGCAGCGCTGGCACCCAGCAGGGAGGAGAGAAGCTTTCAGGATGCAGAGTGGTGCAGGGCGCTGACATTCATGGGTGGATGTCAGTTTGATGAAGTAGGTGTGTTCCTAGGCATACTTTACTTGCTTGCAGACTGTCCTAGGTAATACCTACATGTGATGCTGAGCCTCCATGACTATCAGAACTTAAATCTAGTGAATAAAATATGCAGGCCACGGACAGTAAGGCTGCAGAGGAGAGCACTAAATGATGCTGGATGTCCTCCAGCCAGGAAATGACCTGCTGCAGCTTCTAATACACACTTCAAGAAACTTTAAGAATGCAGAGAAATCACCTGTACAAGACTATAGGTAAGGTTGGAGTTCAACTTTAAGCATAAGTCAAGGTACACTAGCAGTGAGAGGTGACTACCCTTATAGTGGGTGAGATTAAAGGTTGTAAGCTAATATTTGGCCAGACCTGTTGGGATCATCTTGCTCTCCTCAATGGAGATGTGCAGCTCTATTTGCACCTTGTATATTAATTGGCAAATCTGTCATGGACAATGTCATGAGAAACTGCCATACTACGAATTCAGAGTTGCACGGAGGGCTCTTTGAGATGCCATTTAGGGTTGGAATCTTACAGTATATGCTTCCATTGGAATGGATAGTTGTGAAGGGTATGAAGACATACAGTATATGCTTCCATTGGAATGGAAAGTTGTGAAGGGTATAAAGACATACAGTATATGTTTTAATGTAGACACTGTGGGTTTGTCTATATTTAAGGATATGACTTGTAAATTATTTGATGGCAGTGTCTACAGCTAATATTAATATGTTTGGGGCTTTTATATGATCAATATTTTAATGCACATGGTTTATTTTATGACACTGCTTTTTAATAAATGTAATTTTAAAATTTTGGTTTTAAATCCATTCTAGTGTTACTAAAGTTGCTATAATGCAGGCATTAAGTGTGTTTCATGTTATTCACAGGTGGTTACTACTCACTGTTTGGCTATGCTTTTTGAGAATACAATATTGCCTGCAAATGTGTTTATTTTCTCCAGGGAACAGGTCCAAAGGATTCCTCGAGTCTCCCTTCCTAATGTATTTTTATGTCTAAGTTACTTCTATTTCCATCTAGTGTCTTGACTCCTGAGGATAGCTATTGTACCTTTTCGAAGGCCATACAGTTTACAATTGTCTTCAAAATGTATTGAATTCTCTCGTATGGTATGATGCTTATCTAATCTAGGAATATCTTACATTGCAGAGATTACCTTGTATGAGTAACAACCAATATCTTTACAATATATGGCAAACCTAAGTTTACAATGTCTTACAGTTCTCGTGTTAGGCCTGTGTCTTCCTGGTGTCTCTTGGCTTGATGCAAGGTAAGGTAAGCTGTTGACATTGACCACCCAGGACATCTTTAATGGCTCTTTTGGTGGCATTTATAGTCCTAAGCATTTTGGCTGTGATTTGGTTGTGGTTAGTTCTAGATGTAGGTAATATGTTCCTTGTAGTAGCAGCTGTTGTGATGGCCTTACCAGAAACATAAAGTCTTCCTTCTTGTCCACAAAAACATACAAACCCACCAGCTAGAAAATGAAGTTGAAGGGAAAAGGATAAAGGCGAAGAGCATACCTTAAACTTCACGAGAGATATAAACGAGGGGTAATACAAAGGTACATAAACTGGAGTGTAAACTGAAAATATGTCAAGCAAATCTTTAATGTATTGTGACTCAGTAAAATCAAGATGAAAAATAAGCTAAAAAAAAAAAAGATATGTACTCAATATTTTTTCTTTTTAGTATCATCTAAATAGATCCATTAGCCTGAAACAGATGCTGCTATCCCTGACACTTAAGATTCTGTTTCCAACTGACATGTCATGATAAATGGACAAGAAGGGGCTGCAAATGGGTGGAAGCACAGAGGGCTGGTGCAAAGCTAATTGCCAGTGTTGGCACAGCTCCTTGAGAACTCTCAGCTTTAGCCTTGGAACCCAGCTCAAGAGGCACTTTGATCTGCATGAAGCATCTTTAACTGTACTCTACGTACTAGCAGGACAGAAAGCTCCCATTAACAGCTTGTTATTGCAGGATGTAGGACTGGTTGGATGTCTGGCTTTGCTTTTCTCTGGTTTAAAACGATTACCCATCTCTACATCCACCAAAGCAAACTGGCTTGTGCAATTGCCTTGATCTTTGCTGAACCCTTTCTTAACTAAACAAACATACACTTAAACAGCTACATTTCTTTTTATGGATCGAGTACTTGGAAAAAAGTATCGGTACTCGTACTCGGCCTTAAAAAAGTGGTATCGGTGCATCCCTAGAACAAACCATACTTTATACCTCTCTCTCATAGAAGTTAAGGCTGGATATCTAATAACAGACTTTTGTAAGAACATATGCACGCGCGTTAGCCTCAATGGGCGAACTTCATTCAAATATTTGATCCATGCAATAGCATTTCTTTAAAAACAGCTGTTTTTTAAGATAAAAATGACAATTTAAAGTTGCTCTAGCTTAAGGGTTTCTATATTTTGAGGTTTGAAAATGTGAAAGCCACTTACTAATGTATTTGACAAGTTTATACTGCGCTAACATCATGCACAGTGCTTGCTAGAGAACACTGAATCATTTGCATTTCTCCCTGCCATGAATGAGCTTGCACTCTAATATTTTTACATTAGTTTTTACATTAGTCATACTCATGCACAGCTGGTGGGCACTTTAATTGGAAACTAATTAGCTTACCAGTATGTTCTTGGATTGTGTGAGGAAACCGGAACACTTTAATGAAACACATGCAAACACAGGGAGAACATACAGCCTACATAGAGACAATGTTTAGTGGCACTTAAGAATAGGCAAGAGTGTTCAACACTTATTCATCATGCTGCAGGGTTTGGATTAAAGCAACCCATGTTGATATAACAAAAAGAATTGAGCAACCAGCAATCTGTAAAAGTATTCTTCTTTTACAGGCTAATGCTAGCTCAGTTTATCTTCTGGATTGACAGGGTTGCTTTAGGAAGGAAATATTAGTAAATCTGTAATCGACCAAACCATGAAATGATTTGAAGACCCCTATTCACTATCCAAGTCACACTATAACGACAATGGTGCCTCTAAATCCCACGCCATTCTATAATATACACAACAATAATTTAATAAATAAAATTTACAAAAGGGCTGCAAATCCTATACATTTATTTTTCTAGAGCTGCTTGCACAATTTAGTTAATACATGAATAAATCATTGTGCAACTCTAAAAATGGCTATCACCTCTGGCCTGTGGCACCAGCTCTGCTGTGCTGTGTTAAAGAGAGCTAGCATTAGCTAGGGAATGGCTGCCCCAGGAAGACAGTCAGGGAAACTCAGGCTTGTATGCCACCTAATAAACAGCTTTGAGGAAAGCATAGGGTAGTACAAATGGCTTACTTCTAAAAAACATAAATTGTTTTTTTACACTGCCCTGCTCTGAAACTTTGAACTTATTTCAACTCCAGAACATGCTACAGGCCGTGAATGGGTCATGCCACAGAAAAAATGGAATGAGGTGAAAATGATGGACTGCATTATTCCCTGGGACAAGACCTTTCCGCAGTCTGAAAAGAACTATCACCTACTACATGCTCTGTAAATGTAATTAGAGATGTGTGTGTGAAGGGGAAACATTGTTCAACTGGCTATAACATTCTGCTGTCAATAGAGCAAATTGCAAATAATTTCACATACAAAGCTTTGGAATTCACAGGTGAGAAATACATTTCACAGTATCATTGGGCATAAGAATCATAAATATAATTTTACTGAATTGGCTACAGATCAGCTTTTAAGTGAAAATGTTGTGTATTTTGGTTAATTTGATCATTTTGGAAAAAGAAATGAAGTGTATAAATGGATGTTTTCTATAATTGTAATATTTACATAAAAGCTTTATTCTACAAAGAAACATTTCTAGCCAGAGAGGAGGAGGGAAGTGTGGAGGTTTAATTACGTGACACATGTCTATTACTTCAGATAGGTTTAGCGACGCACAGAATTTAGTGATTCAGCGTTGAATCAACTGAAGGTGTTAATCATATAGATTTGCAGGGAGTTCTTCCATCTTTAGTACTTACCTTTTGATTTGAAATCTCGCTGGATGATTTTACTGCTAGTTTGAATTTGGGACTTTTTTCCTCATCTGAGGATCCTCCTTTGTCACTGATTTTACGGGCAAGTTCTCCAATCTTTCGTTTAAGAGTTTCCTCCTCCAGGTCAGCATCTGTGTGCACTCCATGACCTGTAGACTAAAAGATTGAATGGTATTAGGTTGTGCACAGGTCGTTGATTTCTGTGAGAAGCATAAGATGATGGGACAAAGTTACCTCATCAGAATGTACAGATATTTTCTCCTCTAGGCGGTTTAGCATGCGTTCAATGGCAGACATGCGTTTACTGAGATCAGAAATCTGTGAAAGAAGAAAATTTAGGAAAGAGCCCACCACCAAAGGAATCTGTTACCACCACCATGAGTGTTAAAGTAAAGTCCATCAGTGCTACAGGTAATTTTTTAAAGAACAGCTTGAAGTTTAAAAAGTTAAGACTATAGAAATCAGGAGAGCAGGGGAGAGATAAAAGCATTTCATACAGTTCATTCATATCTATGGCGCCAATCTTTTAATTAAATCTTGGCAAAGACTGGCTTGAGTAACTTCTGAGACCAGCAGGCACTGGCTTTGCCCTCCTATCCAATAGGTAGCCAACTTTTCAAATCTGAGATTTATAGTGATGAAGCCAGAGGTCACAGAACTTAGAAGTAGCCTAGAACTTTAAACCAACAGACTGGAAGAAGGCTAGTGCAATTTAACACTACTTTTCCCTACCCCAAATCCTACAATCCTCACTTGCTTCTTTAGTTTGGAGATGTTTTTAAAAACAGAATTGATAGCAAAATATGTTGATTTAATGGCAGATACTTCCATGACCACTAGAGGGTGTAATTTCAAATTGCTGGCCAGGAATGCAGTCACTTACAAGAGGTTTTCATTATAAAATCAAATCTCCATTTTAGGAGCCACAGCAAGAGCTCATGAGTTGTCAACATTTGAGAATTCCAGGGATCCTTGATGTTGCATGCAGCAATTCTTGGCAATAGCAAATGCACTCTCTCAGAGGAACACAGACCCCTATTCTCTATTAAATGAAGTTTCCAGAATCAGTTTTTAGAGGCTGTTTTTTATTTAAAACACTGGTTTCAACTAAAATGAATTTACAATTCATCTAGAATTTAGAAAACGTTAGTAAGAACCAAATATCCTGAAGTGGACATAGACTGTAAAATCATTCACATTTAAATACATATTTAACACAATCATAAAATGTGTAAGAATATATGTAAGCATTATGTGTAGCATATACACGTAAAATGCGTAAATGATAATTCTGAGATTGGGTGAGCCAAAGCATTGGTGAAATGGTCTCTGCTAGAGGCAGTGGGGCTACCCCCGCACTGCAAAGATTAAGTGCTTGTTTTCACCTAGGGTCTAAAACAACAAAGATATAGTCACCCTTGGTTGCTAGAGCGATCCCTGCAGCCTCCCTTCGCCTCCACTCCAACAATGGTATGTCCCTCAGCGTCCTCATGTCAAATACACTGTATGAGGCTGCAGGGAACAATCTAGCAGCCAGGCGGGACTGAGGCTTGGGAGAATATAGCTTCCATATTGTAGACCCTGGAAAAAAATAAGCACTTAACTTTTGAAATGAAGGGGTATCCCCACTGCAAGGGTTGAATTTTCTTCTGCCTGGTTCTTCTTTATGCTCCACACTGACAGAACCAGGATGAGACTGACCTTTCCTGAGGTTGGCTTTATTTGTATACTCTCACCTGACGTATAATGAGAAAGCAGTAAACTCTTCTACAAAGTAACTTTCTGTTTTCAATTTTGGTGCCTTACAATCCATATCCTCAACTGCAACACCTTTGTAATCAAATTGAAAGAGTCAAATTATTAGTTGGTTTGTTGTAAATATAATATTTTGTATAGTGGTTGGGATTAACCACCTTTAATACAACAAATGTACTTATTTAAAATTGTCTTTTAGATTGTAAGCCCTCACGGGCAGGGCCCCCCTTACCATCTTGTCTTGAATTGTATTGTGATTGTAATGTCTTCCTTATATTGTAAAGCGCTGCGCAAACTGTTGGCACTATATAAATCCTGTATAATAATAATAATAATACTATACAAGGTAGGTAAATTACTTTTAATGTGAAACAATATGACAATTGCCAACCAGGTGGCAAAAAGTGAAACTGGAAGGTTGCAATTCATCCTAAATGAAAACTGCAGGTAGATATACTGTACGTATACAGTATACCAGTAAATGTATGTATGTATGTATACCTGCTGTCTGTCAGGTATGCCTGCATCACAGGATTGGATAAACACTATAACAAATTGTATGGTAAAATGGTTTACATACATATATGTATTTCAATTGTATTTTAAGCTGTTAAGCAAGAAGCTCACCTTGAGGTACCAAATAAAGTGTGTAACATATTTTGCAAATGCCCCAAATTGTTTATGCAAGATAGTCTACCCGACTTACAAAACATTAACTTTATATTTAAAGACAAATGCTATTGCTGCCTCTAGAAATCATTAAGCCAGAAAGAAAGGACCACTGAGTTACATCTTTAGAGGACGCTGTGCTCCTAGATTCAATATTATTTGTATGGAATGATATGGCTACAAATAGGCTGGCTATATGTATAGGATACAAATTGAATCACGAGTATGAATTGAAGCACTTTTCTTGGATTGCCACTGACTACTGATTGTTCCCTTTTTTGAAAGAAGTCATGTCAGCTGCAAGAAGAATTGTAAAAGCTAAAGTTGCTGCAGGTGCATGAGAAAGTTTTTTTTATAATATTGACAGATGATTTTCTCCAACAGTGTTTTGAAAACCTAAGGCAATTGTTTACCACCATCATAGCTTTGTAATATCTGAATGCCACTTCTACTGCTGAATTGATCATACGTGACACCTACATACACTACTATACCACTGATTCAGCTACACTGCATGGACTTGACCAAGATTGTGTCCAGTAATGTGCACTGCTTCTTGTCATGTTTAAGGATCCTACCATGCGTTGCCTTCATTTCCATCTGAATATTCTCTTTGAGAGATTTGGTGTCCAGAACATGGTGCCCAACCTGCAGCCTTTTGGCATTTATTGTATGGTCCTTGGATACCCTGTAAACAGTAGTCTGTGATTTAAATACCTAGGTGCTTATTCAGGCCAGTAAAGGAAAATAATCTTTGCACTGGATCGTTGGTTGGTGTATTCTTTCACAGTATCTTGCATTTTTTTGCCCATCTCTTTTCATGTCCCCCCCCCCCAAATGTTTTGAACATTAATATTACATAAGTCCTTTTTGAGGGGGGGGATAAGGGGAACACAAATGTTGAAGTTCTGATTTGTAAAGGGGCCGTGATATCAGTGATCTCTAGCAGCCTCCAACACATTGGGCAAAACTAACTTACAGCCAGCAAAAACATAATCACTGTATTAACTTCTATTCACAAAGCCACGGGACTGAATTCCTCCCAGAGCCATCTTTATGAAAAGGCTTGATTTTTTTATTTTTTTTGGACAGAAACTCTAAGGGAGCTAACACAGAAATGTCCTAACTTACCACTTCACCCTCCAGTTGGCAGTGAGCTGGCCTCTTGGTACAGTGTGGGGTACCAGTGCAATGAGTCATGATATGGAGAAGACATTACTCAGTACAGTGATGGTAATTCAAGTTCTCTCACATGTTGCAGCAACTCTGTTAATGCTGTTTATTCAACTAAGTAGCTTTAATCTAAGTGACAGTGTCTACATCTCTTTTATTATTGCATTTGCATGTGGATATGATGAGATGGAAGGGTTAAAGTTATATGGATATTTCCTGTTCATGGGCTTATTGCTGAACTCTTCTAATGACAATCAACCATTAATGTGATTTTCCTCCTTAGAGGTACTTATTTCAAGAACAAGGCACATAAAATCATTAACAAAACCATACAAGGGACTAAAGGGGCTTAAGAGGGATGTGGAAAAAGGAAATAATTTACATCAAAAGTGAATCTGAGCCGTGATTCTAATTAATGAGCAAGCACTGACTGAAAAGAGTCTAATTACATCTTTGGAAAACACATTATGCCCGGTACACTTTAGGCTGCTCTCTGACAATGTCATATTGAAAAAGAAGGGGGCAGTGACCAGGCTTGGCTTGATGGTCAAGCTAACATTAATGAAGGAGTCATAAGAAAAACAAGTATAATTTTATAAACTACATTTCAGGTTTATTAATTTAGGTTGAGAAACAGCAGCCAATAAACAATAATCTGTCTACTCTAAACAACAACAAAAGTGAAATCTAATTGGTTGCTCGGTGTTACTTTTGGCTTGTTGGATAGACCTCTTTGTACATTTTATAAAGAAATGTTTACAATGCAAGTCTGCATGCACCCCCTTTTAAGTTCAAAAGCATTACAGCTTGGTTTGGCATGCCCAATTTTATTAGTGGCTTACAGATAGAAATAAGGTTTCTGAAATACAAACGTTTCCATCACCTAATAAAAAGAGACAGTGCCCCACCATAAGACATTTCTGTGCAATGTCAACCTTTTACTAAACATACTGCGTATTAAATATCCCATTAAAGCAAGTTGGCCATTGTTAAATTATTTTTTATTTAGAACACTTTTTTGACGTTTTTCTCGATGGATTTATAAGACTTTTATATGACTTTATCCGTATTGATTATATTATATTAGGTTGTATTGAATATATATATATATTATTGATTATATTAATATATATGTATATAATATTGATTATATTATATTAGGTTGTATTGAATTTGT